GTCGAGCGATACGTTGACTGATGATTTGGTGCAGTCTGTCCCTGACTGCTGGCAGAAGAGGTAACTAGATACTAACCTTGAAACGGGCTCCCGGACCATGGTGAAATAAGAACAGGGTCTGTCTCTCACATATTCACAGATAGTGTATGATCCTTGTCCTCTAAATATAGTTCGGTTGGGTGTTCCAGCTTCGATCTCGTATTTTGTAAACGTTTCCATCCTGTTTCTATTGTCTATATAAGACGTTGGAATATGTAGATCTCTACACATTTCTACAATGCAATTTTTGATCGTTGTTCCACCGGATTTAACGTTCTGTACGAACGCCATTTTCCCTTCCCGGTATCTCTCAGCAAGGCCAGCTGGATCTCCACGTGTAAAGTAGTTAGGAAGCTGGTTTCGCAATTTGAATGCAGTTATGATACGGGATACATTATTATCATCGGTTATTGCCACAGGATTTCCTTTCATCTTGAGGAGTGGTTCATCAGCAGCATCACCAACAACCCCAGTCGTAGCAATGTCGGAATACAAATTCTTTTTGGTTCTTGGGTGATAGATTTTCCCGGGTCGGCTTCTTACACCGTCACTGTAATAGAGAAAAATAGAACAACAATTACCACCGATAACATCATGACTAAGTTTGAATCTAACTCACAGCATCAGCTGTGCCTGGAAGGCGAAAAGCAAACTCAATCACGGCACTCCGCGGGTTTCATCTCCCGATACAACTACGATACATGTATTTGGGATGTACAGGTGGACCACTACAATTGGGCTCCCCCTACACGTAGGCCTATATAAATAGTGCAGTGGTTTCTTAACGTGCAAAGATGGGGACTCTCCTCTACACGGGGAATCAATTTAACGTCCTATCCGAGGGACGGAGTCTTTCCCACTGTAACATATAGCATTCGTCTAAGAAAAGGGGGGAGGGGCACGTCAACACACAACACAGACTTGAGGCATCCACCTGGGTTGGATTCGAACCCTATGTCTTTGGTTCGACAGGCCGCAGACGCTTTACCGACTGAGAAAACATCTCTTCCAGTTTGATCACTTCATCAAATATCATGCACCATAGTGAACCAAACCTATCATCAACAATTACACAAAACGAACAAACTAGGGTACATGACAATAGTTATGTAACAGACATTGTGTACCTCTTCAAAATTGGATAACGATAAGTAATAAGACCAACAAAAAAACATATAGAATTACATCAGTTACTTTAGGTAGGTAAGATAAAAAAAAAAAACTGAAGCTGGAACATAAAGAAATCTGTTTTTGACGTAACATCGAACTTCTTCTAATATTCTTTTAAAAGAAAGCAGGAAAAAGTAAGAGAAGCAGGTTGATGAAAGTTTGCACAAAATCGGAAAATAATGAGAAGGTTGTGAAAATCGTAAGTATGAGAATCATTTCCATTATTATACTTATTATCATTATCATCATTCTTATTATCATCATCATCACTATTATTATTATTGTTATTGTTATTACCATTATTGTTATTATTACAATTACTATTGGTCCTATCTATTTTCTGCTTTCATTAATGAACTTAATTCAAAGATTGGATTCCCTCTTTAAGGGGCGGATCCAGCCGGCGGCAGGGGAGGGGGCCAATTCGTGAGAAAATATTTAGCGGCGAAACAGCCGGCCGATAATTCGCTCAGTGAGTGGGGGGGGGGGGAGGGGTGTCATATCTTATATGTCCATAAATACGAAGGTAACAGGAGCTAGAAGTCTACGCCATTATGCTCGTTGCTAAGCTTACTTTATTCTGCCGGAGAGGGCAGTATTTCACTGTTTCGTACAGACAAGTTTCTGATGGATATACATAGCAAATATCACATTACTACACCTCTCCCTTCTTTGAGATAGAGTTCCTATAATGTTGGAGAAGGTGCATTAAGCCTGTTGAATACATACAGTATCGGCACATAATAGTATGTAGCTGAATCGGTTTGGATATTAAAATCAAATCTAACAACCAAAATATATCTGAGTGATTTGGCTATTTTCTTCTGAGAGTTGTTAGCACTTGTATTTGTGTAGTCCTATACGAGGTTAGTTATATTTCAGATCAACTGAATGCAAACACAACAATAAAAAGGACTGCTGTCTTAAACCTGACATTACAAAACCCTTGTCGAAATCATGAACTGCAAAATACTAGACAAAGTCAAATAGAACTTTCATAACACTAACAACCTTGAAAACACCTTATTGAGGTCTGCTAAACACCAAACTGAAACAATAGAGTATTGTGCAACATTTGGCACTTCAACATCATTTGCAACAAAGTTGTGCATATGTGTGTACCTGCACAGCATGACAATAAAATAAATGTTATTAACCAAAATAAATCATTTCTGTTCTTGTACTTTTCTTTTGGAAACTAATGATGCAAAGAACATGCAGTCCAAGTTAAAAATGCATGGTACCACACAATATACAACAAGAATGCTTCTGAACGAAATTACTTATAAACACATCATGTTTGTACTTTCAGTGTACAGTTATTTCACATACATACATGTACGTACATTTAAATCATTTTTTGTTTGTTTGTTTACAATATCTGTTTTGTTTGTGAAATATTAATCCTCTTTCCATCCTTCCTCTCTCCCTTTTCAATGAACAATGATGACCAACATTAAAATAATCATCATCATTCGAACAGTATCTCTATAAAAAAAAAATTGACTGTTGCAGTATTGAACTCACAACTGAAAATTGCTTGAAAAAATAATTTAGGAAAAAACACATTCCGTATTAATGAGTGTGATAGAGTGGAACTGGTACATGGTAGATGCGAAGCAGAATGAAAAGTTTACCGGTAAATACAAACATCAGAATGACAAAATGCATAAACATCCGTTGGGGGGGGGGGGGTCAAACTAGCTACTAAAATATATATGAGTGATTTGGCTATTTTCTTCTGAGAGTTGTTAGCACTTGTATTTGTGTAAAATCCCATCCTCGTCGCCAAATGTCATATCTTATTATGTCCATAAATACGAAGGTAACAGAGCTAGAAGTCTACGCCATTATGCTCGTTGCTAAGCTTACTTTATTCTCCCGGAGAGGGCAGTATTTCACTGATTCGTACAGACAAGTTTCTGATGGATATACATAGCAAATATCTCATTACTACAGGGGGGTAGTGTGCACTATTTTTTTTTGCTCCCGAAAATTTGAAAATCGCGTCGGTCGATAATTTCTGGCCCTCAAAAATTTGAAAAATCGCACCCCCCCCCCCCCCTTTGAGCGCCAGGGGGGGGGGGGGAGGGGGGCCATCTCCAAAAAAAGGTAAAATTTACGGGGTATTTTTTCCCCAGGGGGAAGGGGAGCCGGCCCCCGGGCCCCCTGGATCCGCCACTGCCCCCCCCCCCCCTTTCGACCCTTAACATCACACCATATTGATTCTTACCTGCCTGCTTGTTTCGGAAGTGGGCCCTCTCCTGAAAACCTGCCCGACCCTTCTGTGAAAATACAGAGCTCGATCGTCAAGAATTCGTGATAAACCATTTTAGAACTGTGTTAAAGGAACTACCCTAAAAGCTTAAGTGTAGATATTCTGAAAATGAGATGGATTTCTGCCCTTTGATGTACAATAAACCTTACGAAAATGTACAAGAGATTCATAAATGAAGATGTTCTTGGCATGCTGTGATGCCTTTTAGCATGACATGGGCACAGCCATTTTCTTGAAAATGTGACGAGGGGGCAACCAGGTGAAATTGTACATGTATTATGCACCAAGCTTTAGTTGGGAAAGACTTTTTAAATCAATAACAAAACATTTACTTTACTTATCAACGAGGAAAAATCATAGCTGCGAAGATTAGAAATTATATTTGATGAAAAAAATTATATAACAGGTGAACAATAATTTGTAACTAATTGATTTAAAAAAACTTGAATATAGCATTTAACAATTTTATTTCTTTCATGAGAAACCTTCACCCCAGATGAGCAACAACTTATTTATGCAATATGCGTTTTGGCAATTGAAGTACATATTAGGATAATAGAGGTGAATGAAATGCTTCACCACACAAACCTAGAAAGGAAGCATCCATCAATTTGAATACATTTACTTGATAAATGTCTTCACATAGTACATCACGTTAAATCAAGAAAATCGCGATGCCTTTGTCGTACTGAGAAACTTTACATTATTCTTGCTTTATGCCTCTCTCGTACAATTTGTTGGAGAATATTGTAGATGAATGGGCAAGATTATAATAAATCTCTCAGAATAATTCAAACTATTTCTTGGGGTGAGGTTTCCTTTGAATTTTTAAAGTTTCCTCGCGATGAGCCTTAACATTATCCTTTACTTATTATTTAATCTAAATAGCGAGAATACAAATAACATAGATACATGTACAGTGATTAGCTGTTGCTTTAATAGAATCAGACAAACATTATGGCTTGCGCACCCTATACCTAATAACACGTAATGTACAGTACGTCCCAGAAAAAACGAAACCGAGAATTATCGATGTTTTATCATAACTAAGTCACATTTATAAGTAATAATTGAAACATATTTGGAAAGCTTAGATCCTCCTCTTTCATTAATTATTTTGATGCAACTCATATGATGCATATTTTACGCATGAGTGATTAAAATCAATTTGAAGAGAGGAAACCAAAAAGTAATTTGGCGGGCGGTATCTGAATTTCAAAGAGAAAATCACATTTCTAAACAGTTGAGTTTCTGCCCTTTCATATGACACTTCAATCAGGAAAAATTAGCAAGGAATGACAAAGTTCTGCTTGTTTAAATAGTGCTTGCATTTCCAAAATTTTATCAAACGAATTCGTTTTCACTGGCTGTCTGCCGTAGCGAAAAGCAGAATTGATAAACGACTTAACTCCGTTTCGTTGACAATCAGCCATTCTTGAAGTCTTTCGTCTACGGCTGATTGTCAACGAAACAGAGTTAAGTCTTTTGTTAATTCCGTTTGTTGCTACGGCAGGCAGCCAGTGAAAACGAGTTCGTTTAATAAAATTATGGAAATGCAAGCACTACTTTACACAAACAGAACTTTGTCATTCCTTGCTAATTTTTCCTGATTGAGGTGTCATATGTAAGGGCAAAAACTCAACTTTCTAGAAATGTGATTTTCTCTTTGAAATTCAGAAACCGTCCGCCAAATGATTTTTTGGTTTCCTTTCTTCAAAATCATTTTAATCACTCATGCGTGAAATATACACTATATGAGTTACATCAAATGAAAGAAGAGGATCTAAGCTTTCCAAATATGTGTCATTTATTAATATAAATGTGACTAAGTTATGATAAAACATCGATAATTCTCGGTTTCGTTTTTTCTGGGACGCACTGTATTATGAATTAAAATTCTGACTACTGAAATACCATCTATCGTAACAGAGGAATGAAATAATTTGGAACGGGCAATTAAATCAAAATAGACGTATACTTCATATATGATTACATTACGAAAATGGCCTATGAATGTACTTGGCTAAAATATCACTGTTGTACTGAAATAGCTGCTGCAATGTCAAGCAATGTATACGACAACCAATTTGTGGCAACTGTATTCGATAAGCCGATATACAGTCAATGGATCGAAATGCGCTGAATGATGCCTGTATTTATTATACATGTATTGGTATTACTTTTAGGAACCATCGTGAAGTAATCAAGTCATATATCGCAAACGGGAGAAGGTTATAGTGGTGTCAACAGAAATTTACAGACTATCAAGAAACCATAAATTATTGAAGATATGCTCCTCTAATATGAGTTTGCAATTGACCGCGCTATACAATCATGAATCGTGCATGATATTAGCTTTCAAGACTTTCCTCTAAAATTTGTCAAAATGTACCTGATTGTTGATGAATATAGGTAACTAATGATGGGAGCACCAGAAGTAGTGCAATCAAGATGAGTGTTGCAGGGCGAGTCCAGCTTTGAATAAATCTGCATCTGTTTGAACTGCGGTATAATCGAGAAGCCATCTTTGGTGTATACCGACCATTCTGTTAAATATGAAAATGATAAATATAACAATGTTATGTGTAAATAGACGAACATATCATGACGTTCCAGCCTTCAATTGGCAACCACACACCTGCGTGAAACTGAAGAGTGATGTAAACGGAAACTAAAATGCGTTCGTAATCATCCCTTCCCGCACCCGAAGATCCCTATATATATTTTTATCCCATTAATTTTCTTTTTTATCCCCCAAAACTTGATTTTCCCATGCCGTTGCCCTGGTTATATGATTTGTATCTGAGCGTGCATGACATTTCACAAAATCTGTTATGAACTTTGAAGAATTGATACTTTTTTTCTTCTGAATATTGTTTATTTCATAATTATTGATTTTTATTAAATGGTTTATCAAAATTTACATTTGTCCCGATTTAACTGGAAAAAAATATTAACAGGTACTCTATATTAGTGCATCAACGCAAAAACATTACTATCAATATGACTTGGATGCTGGTGTAAATAAATAAGGTTTTTAGGGGGAAAATTGGTAATTTATGTTATCAATATCAAGGAAACATGAAACTCATGAGTGAGTTGCTAATTTGTCTTGTGATTGTTGAAGTAACGCTTCATGTCATTAAAAATTCATAACTTTCCTATCGGTTATCCGGTATTGCTCAGACTTTTTTAATAGGTTAAATTTGTCTGATTTTTGCTTCTATAAAAAGTAAGTTATTTTTGGAGTGGACTTGCCCTCTAATTCAACCTCATATTCAAGCAATCTTTGAACAATCTTGTTTAGTCACAAAGTCTTAGTTTGTACGACTATATACAACTCGATATATGCACATCTGTGAACTCAAGGATATAGAGAAAATGGCTTACCAACAGACAGATACAATGTTCCTTCTCTGCTCAGTATACTGGAATTGATGAGGCAGAATTAATCCCTTATGACGTTTAGGATAATTTCAGCATAAAATATTGCATTAAGTCTACACACGCGGCCAAAATATATAGGTCTCTCTGGAGACATGCAGGTCTGCACCAACTCGCACTGGGATTGTAGTATGGCTGACATAGCAAGAACGAAGAAGAGGACTGATCGTATTTGCCTCAACACCAATTCCTAACTAACAATGGTCGTAAATGACAACCCGTAATCTTGCCATTAGCGAATAGGCCATTTTAATTCGTAAAGAAACCAAATTTGATACATAAGTGCCTAAATGCAAAGTATTTCATTCACCTGATAAGAATAATAGTATTTCAATAGACAGAATGCAAACTGCATATTTTGCTAGATAGGTCAAGCCATAATGTTTGTCGTACCTGGCAACAACTAATGCAGTTCGGATTCTGTCTATTGAAATACTATTATTCTTATCAGGTGAATGAAATATTTTGTAGTGAGGCACTTCACAAATACTTAAGCATTTAATTTGGTTTCATTACGACTAATGGCCTATAGACCAGTTCACGGTAAGCACATTACTACAATGACCCCGAATATCCACAGATCAGTTTCAAAACATGAAGAGGTCCCACTTTGTACATTTTGAAATAATCACTCCTACAGCGATGGAGATGCTACATACTTAGCCTTTGTTTCCCCTTTTCAAAGAATACTTCCACCTGTGTATCATGGAGTGCACTGCTTGTGCATTCATGAATAATGATTACATAACTTTCATGAGCACGTATATCCAGTATTTCGTCTACGTGTATTTCAAAATTTGTTCTGCAATGACCTTTATCTGCTCATGCTCAGACTGCAACCGTGAACTGGCTTATTCCACCATGCCCTACCTATAACAACATTAATGTATGCAAATTGATTCTTACAATAGATCAGTTTGTAGTTAGCATATTATGGTACAAAATGACCCCGAATAAATGTCATTATTAGCTTTTGTTGTCGACCTTTGAAAAGAATGTTTCCACCTGTGTACCGTGGAATGTACATTCGGGGCATACATGAATAGTGACTTTTAGATTTGCACGTCGACATAGTGGACTGCTACGTGTCACGTTCTTTAAGGTACACGTGGTGTCCTTTTAAGGCATTGCCATTGTATTAAAAGGACGTGGTAGAGAAGGACTGGAATCAAGCCGCTCTCCTTTGACCCCATGCACCAAGCCACCGAAAAGTTATGCGCTAATCTGCAACTGTTGACCAGGTGGTGAGATAAAAGAGCGCATGAATTTCAGGATTTAGAATTCCTACATCAGAAAATGGTATCACAGCAACTGTTCGCTGTCCCTTTCAATGATTTCTCATCCATTGTTGAATGTGTAAAGAGTAGGACAAGCGAACTCAAACTTGTGTAATTTCATCCTTTTTTTAACTTAAAAAATACAAACGCAAACACACGCATTAGCAAACTTAATGTTATTGAAGATGGTAAATCATGGATCATAATAACGGGACATTAAAACATGCACAAATTAGCGCATTATCCTAAACTATTGAGTTTTTGTCAGGATGTAATTTTTCTTTTAGCAACTCTGGCACACAAATTATAAAAAGGACGGAGTTCTAAATTTGAAAATTTGTTTGATGAACTATTCCCAATACAATCCCCATATAAAGTTTTGGATTTAAACTGACATTTTGCCGGTAATTTAATATTTTGCAATAAATGTAAAACTGGTGCCTGGCTTCCGAAAGTCCCCGCAGCGGAAGCGCGGTTCGGAGCATGGAACTTCAAAGCCAAGTGGAATGTTACACATCCCATTGTTACGCTTTAAGTCACGCTTTAGAAGTCACGATTGCGTTTGAATAAATTACAAGAGTTTCGTCTCCTTTCTTTCACCTCCCTGGTCACACGTAGCAGTCCACTATATCGACGTGCAAATCTAAAAGTCCCTAATAAATCATATCATGACTCCCTATCCAGCATTCTTCTCTGTCGATTCACAAATTTTGTGAAAATGGTCTTTGTTTGCTCATGCGCAGATTGAATCTACGAATTGAATAATAACAATAGACATGTTTACCCATTTTCACCCATAGCTGAGGCCTAACAAAAAAATTGTTGGTTTGCCGTTTGCGACCGACCCCAAAATTTTGAAATCTACGGTCGGCTTTCAACAACAACAAAAATTACCGTTTAAAAAAAAAAAGGTATTAAAGCGTATCTGCCATAGTTTACAGGAGGGATTAGACTGCCCTGCAAGGTCACTGGACAGGTGGTTATCTCATCAACTCAGCTCTCAGTTAACATAAGAAAAAGAGGATCATGGGGGACCAATGGTCACCGATTAGGCATGGTTTGTTATATAGAGGGCGCAAGTAGCTACAAGTAGTGCAGTGGGCCTTTAAAGCATTAAAAACTGAAAAATATCAGCCAAAAAAAAAAGTTTAAAGAAAGGAAAGATTTCCGACCAAACGACCCATGTTTTTGGCTCCTAAATGGCAATACAACCTCTTTTTTTAAGGCCTTATCGTGATGAATAATCGTTTGTCAGACGTTGCTCGACATTATTACAGCAACGATCAATGTATGTTAAGTGGATTCTATGTATTGAGATCCCATGTTCATCACAGTTTGAATGAAATGGCTGGGAAACAAAATCAGTGGTTATAGGAAGAGCAAGTAGTTTTACGACCTGGGCCCCGTCTTACAAAGAGTTGATATCAATCGCAACTTATTTGCGATTGATATCAATCGCAACTATGTACATAAGAGATAGGAGACTGCAAACTTGCGATTGATTGGAGGACTTGCGTGGTCGAGTGGATACGTCGCAGGACTATCGAGGTCCGAGGTTCGAGTCCCACCACGGCACTAATGTCTTTTGGCAAGACATTGATCTACATTTGCCACACTTAACCCAGGTGATGTAAATGGGTACCTGGCAGGAATTAATTCCTCGAAATGCTGGAGCGCTGTATAAACGGGCTAAAGCCGGGGTAATAATAATGCGCCTCTGAATAGAATAGATAGACGGCGCTATAGAAATGCCTATTATTATTTATTATTTATTATTCTTTAAAAACAGGGCCCTGGAGTCCCAACTGGCAACCAATTATTTCAAGTAGCTGCTGTTTTCTAATATACAGTGCTGTTACCTTTCATGTCCGAGGTTCAAAGCCGCCAATATCATTGGGAAGCTTGAGTAGTGATTTTTTCACAAAGAAATATCGTTATTTCAATTTTGTATTCGAACAGATGGTAAAATATAAGTACAAAAACCTAATTGTGTCAAGAAATGTGCTTACATTGTATGATAGCAGTTTTAATTTGTGAAAAATACACGCTATGAATATGACGGACAAAGAAAGCGGACAAAATATACAGTTCCTCAGGTAGACAAAGGAACATCCCTTCACTGCTATAAAGTGAATATGCATGTGACACCTGTTCTACATATTTTTTCATATAAGCAGTGAAGGGATGTTCCTTTGTCTACCTGAGGAACTGTATATTTTGTCCGCTTTCTTTGTCAGTCATATTCATAGTGACATGTAGTTACATGTTACAATCCTAAAACCTGCAATTTGACACTGTCTTTTCCGATTACTTCCAGCACACGAAAATAAAAATTGAATTTGTTCAAGGCAGTTATGGCAGTAAGTTCTCTGTGCAGATTAGTGCCCACACATTCCCAGTCGAGTAAAATTGATTAATATTACAGGAAATGTTGCTCCATTTCCTTTCGCCTGTCTCCTGTTAAGGTAAACGCTATGTACTGCTCGTATTTTCTGACAAGTGGTAGCGAAAAGTAATTATCATTACAAAAGCATATTTCCCTTTGAAAGTGGCCCGTTAGTTTGCAGCTAGGCAGGAATGTATTGACAAACTAAACATTGGGTCCTACCCCTTTATCTTTACCAACATGTGAGGTGTAGAATCTTGATTGAAATAAATATTGAGTGGTTAGTTCGGTTGATTATCCAGTTTGGAATCAATACAATTCAACCCAATACTATGAATTTTAATCAATATGCGGTGTAGGCGATAAGGCTAAATCACAAGTATTCTTATCATGTTTGTCGGAATAAGCCGGCTTTTCTTTGTTCCTATTCACCTCATTTTTCTCCGTTCAACCAACCTTTATAATTTCACATGAAAAGACATGTATTTATTTATTATAGTTTTTTAACATATTGTTATTGTTGTTTTTGTTGTTCTCTGGCGTTCTTTCCTTTTGCATTTTATTTTGATCTTACTATAATGTATGATCACATATACTGTTAAAGGGGAAGTCCACCCTGAAATTAAGTTAGTTTTAATAGGAGTAGAAAAATGAGAGAAACAAGTCAGTGAAAGTTTGAGCAAATTCCGATTAAAAATAAGGAAGTTAGGATTTTTGAAGTTGTGATCAATCAAACACAAATTGGCAACTCTATGACGTATCATGCGAGCTCAACCTCCATTTGCTCAGTACTAAAAAAATCTAAAATTTTCATTTTCCCTCAAGAAAAATTTCAACCATACATGCACCCTAAATATAATAATTGCAAATATGTTTCTATACTCCCCCTGCAAGGAACAAATATATATTCCGTCATCAATAACGAAGAAAACATGATTTTATGGAATATTATGCACAAAGCAAATGAAGGAGAGCTCGTATATAAGTCACAGAGTTGCCAATTTGTATTTGATTGATCACAACTTCAATAATTCATAACTTTCTTATTTTCATTCAGAATTTGCTCAAACTTTCACTCACCTGATTTTCTTATTATTCTGCCTCTATCGAAACAAACTTATTTTGGGGGTGGACTTTCCCTTTAACAACTAAATTATTCACACCCTTACCAAGTTTTGTAATCTTTTAAAAAGAAATCCAACCTCGATAGCAAACTACGCTAAAAGAAAGCAGAAAAAATAGATAAACATACTCGTGAAAGTTTGAATGACATCGGACAAAAAATGAGAAAGTTTGAAAGCTGCAATCACTAAAGGTATGGGCTCATCAAATTGGCTGAATTGGAAATCTCTCTGTAATGTAGTGGCAGACAACTTTCCCATTTGTTCCAACCCCAAAAATGACTAAAATTCACCCATTGAATCAAACAGCCAATCAACCAATCAATCTATCAATCAATCAATGAACAAATTAACAAATCAGTCAACAATATGACCAACAAAATAACCATTCAAATAATCAATCAACCAATCAATCATTCAACCAATCAATCAATCAATCACCCAATCATTCAATCAATCAACCAATCAATCAATCAAACGATCAATCAACCAACATAGATCACTCCAAATGATCTATGTGATGGAGTTAATGCAATTGAGATTAGAATATACTTTTTTTGGTGGACAGTTGCTAAAATCGATTTTGATTTATCATTATTGATTTACCAATCAATTCACCAATCAATCCACCTATCATTTAACCACTAATTGATCGATCAATCAGCCAACCAATTAACCAATCAACTGATCAATCAACCAATCATTCAATCCACCAATCATTCAATCAATCAACCAATCAATCAATCAACGATCAATAAACCAATCATTAAATCCACCAATCATTCAATCAATTCACCAATCAATCCATCTATCATTTAATCAACCAATCATTCAATTAATCAATCAACCAACTAATCAATCATTCAATCAACCAATCACTCACCCGATTGATCCACCAATCAATCCATCAACCAATCAATGAATCGATTGATCAACCAATCTATCAATCAACCAATCAATAAAAAGTAAGCATGTTATAGTTTCATTTTCATTTATTTTGTATCTCACTGAACCTTCTTATTTACATTTTTCTTCAGTTGTATAAATTGTAATATAATCACATAGTAATAAATTTAAAGCACATTTGAGAAAGAATGCATAGATTGCTTTAAAAATTTACACGAATTATACTCAAGAATGAGTTTGTCACTTGTAACAAGTAAATTAAGTATATATTTGGAATGATTGGCACAATGTGGTGTAAATGGGAATGAGTTTTAAAAGAAAGGTGGATAATTGCGTAGTCATAGCAAAAACCCAAGTACATGTACATGCATGTGTTTTATTTATTACACACTAGTATCATGTTTAGATCCAGAAGGGGATAACTCAGAAACTATTGCAGAGAGCTAACAACCTTCTACTCCTCAGTAGATGATCCATCTATTAATCCAATACTAGCTTAAGCATTAAGGTACATGACTGGTGAGATATTTCCTAATCATCTATTAATCCAATACCAGCTTAAGCAATAAGGTACATGACTGGTGAGATATTTCATGATCATCTATTAATCCAATACCAGCTTAAGCATTAAGGTACATGACTGGTGAGATATTTCATGATCATCTATTAATCCAATACCAGCTTAAGCATTAAGGTACACGACTGGTGAGATATTTCCTAATCATCTATTAAATCCAATACCAGCTTAAGCATTAAGGTACATGACTGGTGAGATATTTCCTGATCATCTATTAATCCAATACCAGCTTAAGCATTAAGGTACATGACTGGTGAGATATTTCCTGATCATCTATTAATCCAATACCAGCTTAAGCATTAAGGTAAATGACTGGTGAGATGTTTCCTAATCATCTATTAATCCAATACCAGCTTAAGCATTAAGGTACACGACTGGTGAAATATTTCCTAATCATCTACTAATCCAATATTTAAGTATTAAGGTACATGACTGGCGTGCTAGTTTGAAGCTAGTGTTCCTCTGACAAATTAGTTCAAAAAATATATCTTTTCTTTATAGGATGACAAAATTCTAAAGGAATAATAATATATACTGAAAACACACTAAATACGATATATAATTTTAGCTACTGAGTATACTTTTCTCTTAGGCAGTGGCACCCTCATAACTTTTATTATACTGAAAAGGATCCTCTGAAAAAGTAATGACGATTATAATAATATTCTGCTTATATAGCGCTTTATACAATGTCTTTAAGTGCTTATTATTTTTTCAACATTCAAAATCACGATTCATAATAATGAAACACATGCATGTGGGAAATAACAGTGGAGATTAACAAAATTGCAAGCAAAGATTAGTCATGTATTTGTCTTTATAATATATCGGCTGTCATACATATATATCCCTCAAAAAAAGTTTGGAACCTCAAGTATGATTAATTATATCTCTCTTGGTATGGCATAATCATCACTATGTTTACTCTATGGCCTTATTCCTTATTTTAAATGATACCCCATTTGTTTTGATTTTTCGGTCATGGAATAAGCAGCAGATCAATTTAAGGGGCAAGATCAAAAGTTGCAAAAAGCACTGCTCTTGTTCGAGTGTGCATTCAAATTGTACTATTGGCTATTAGCCCTGGGGGGTGTTTCACAAAGATCCTAAGTAGAACTTAACTCTAAGTTGGGCTTAAAAATTATGACAGCCATTGGAGTCTTTAAATGAAATATATTCAAAAGCAGAAATTCAAGTATTTAGACTTTTTATTAATTCCACATCCAGAACATGAAATCTCCTTGATGATAGAAAATATGAATGATTTCAATAAACAATGAATGCCTTTCAAAATAACTTTCACAAAATATTTTCAAAGATGCTATTAAATGGCTTTCCATACTTTTTAAGTCAAACTTAGAGATAAGTTCAACTTAGGATCTTTGTGAAACACCCCCCTGGCCTTTTCAACATGTGTAAATCTAGACTTGATGCTTCAGAAAGTTTGATGACCGAACAGTACTGAATCTTGCTTGACAAGTCACCAAAGTGCAGGAGTTTCAATCAATACCAGATTCTTCAGTTGGGAACAAAAGCCCCATTGTCATTTACAAAAATCACAGTCTCTTATGTCAAAGAAGTAGAGTGCTTTAAATTACAGTGCCAGTGTTTACCAGTTCATTTTGCAATTTTTCACTTTTGACCCTACCCTTTAATCCTTATGTATTGCTCACTCCATGGCTGCGGAATCATTACAAATATGGTATCTTTTTAAAGAGGAGTAAACACACTTTCTAATAATAACAATAAAAACAATGATTTTGCCATGATCAGAGAGCTATAAATAGACCAAATTGAGTTCCAAAACTTTTTTGAGGGATTTATTTGGCATCCTCTCTTAAAGCCCCACTGCACTACTTGCACTATCTATATAGCAAACAATGCCTAATCTGTGACCATTGGTCCCCCATGATCCCCTTTTTCTTATGTTAATTGTTAGTTGATTTGATGAGATAACCATCTGTCAGTAACCATGCAGGGAGATCTAATCCCTCCTGGCCAAACTAGTGCAGAGGTGCTTTAAAGAGTTCACACAGTTTACACGGTTCTAGACGGCTACATATACCAATACTTCCAAGGCATACCCTGTGGTAGAAACAACATACTGTAGATCATCCTCTATATATTCCATGAGCCTTACCATCCCACTGGTTTACCTTGCCTGTCAAAAACAAAAGAAAACAAAAAAAACATGTATATATTTGCTACTCCAAGGTTGATTTATCTGATCATTCATTTTACGAAGATGTACTTTCCCAATTCATTTCGTTTCTTGCCTTGACGGTTGAAATATAAGGTTCTCAAAGAGATTTACCTTGAGTTTGATTTATCTGATGGTTTACTTTACAAAGGTTTACTTTCCTAATTATTTCTTTTCTTGCCTTGTAAGTTGAAATATAAGGTTCTGAAAGGAATTTTCCTGGGTTTTTTAGCTACTATAGGGTTGTGGAACTGGTCATACCTTAAGTTTGTACTTGTAGCTAGTATAAGGTTTTCTGATTGATTGATCATAAACCTCAAGTTTGCAGGAAGCATAAGGTTCTTAAAGTGATCTACCTTGAGTCTGTAGCTAGCATAAGGTTCTACAAGTGATCTACCTTGAGTCTGTAGCTAACATAAGATTCTTAAAGTGATCTACCTTGAGTCTGTAGCTAACATAAGGTTCTAAAAGTGATTTACCTGGAGTCTGTAGCTAGCATAAGATTCTTAAAGTGATCTACCTTGAGTCTGTAGCTAGTATAAGGTTCTAAAAAAGATTTACCATGAGTTTGTGACTGCATGTCACTAGAATCTAAGGTATTGGACGTGATCCTACCTTGAGTTTGTAGCCAGTATCAGGTTCTGGACTGCCATGATGGTGGATGCTTCGTTTTGTCCCGTGATGAGACAGCGATCAACAACTACATGAATAGCACCTGCTTCACTGGCTGCATGTTAAGAGAACATATCAAATCATATCAAACAGAACATAAACTATCAAAGATAAAATTGAATTCATAAGCTTTCTTATTCTTTGTTTGTCAGAGCTCTTCAAATAGGGGAAATCTTTTTTTGTGTGTGTTTTGTGTTTGAGGAGGGAGGGGATCGCAAGAGTGCCCTAACATATGTTTAGGGCTAGATTTTATAAAAGATTTAGGGTAAGGGTACCAATTTCAGAGTGGAGGGGAGGGAGGTTTCAAACACAAGTCTGATAATTAATCCTGATCTTTCTCTTTATCCTCCCTCTTTCTTGTGTTTAATGATGGCCTCCATGATCTTTATTGCCCTATGTCTTTCAAGTGTTCTGCTGGTTGCCTCAACTACACAGGCAGCCAGGGATGCAAATGAGGGCCACAACATTCCCATATCAATTTTATTTGGTTTGTGAGAAAGGTAAGCAATCCCTTTTGTTTCATAATGCCAGAGATAACTGTGTCACAAGATGCGTGTCCACTCAAATTAGTGGTGGGAGTAGTGCATGCAAGCCCAGGTCCTAGAAACCTTTTGATTTAGGCTTCCTGTTCTAGTTCCAGTCGGAATCTGAATTTGTGAAGACCGAAAAAAAAAAAACAGAACATATAATCATAAAGACTGGTACCAAAAAATAGAAGAGAAAGAAAGGAGGAAAAGATACAGAAAGAGATAGAATAAAAATGAGAGCGAAAAAAGAGAAAGAGAGAAAGAAAGAAAGAGGGGGAATGACAGAGAGAGAAAGAAAAGGAGAGAGAAATAGAAAAAGAAAGAGGAAGATGAGAAAGTGTGAGAGAGAGAGAAAAGGACTGGGGAAATGAAAGGAAGAGAAAGAGAAATCCAGTGACGTATACAGTCAATGATATTACCTGTATATTTTCCAGCATTGTCTTTGATAAAATCCTCAAGAATTATGGGAAGACTGGCGAATGACGATGATCTCACCAACTCATACACTGAGGGCTGATGGATAAAAATGCATGAAATAAGGTGTGTCAAGGTAAAACTATAATTTGATTTGCTAGTGAGAGATTTTTTTACAAAACAGTGTATGAACTGACAATTAAGGCTCCATTGACAAATGCCGTGTTCAGGGATGCCAGTTAGAATTGATCAGAGGGCCTGAAAATCACCTAGAATGAGCTATTTTGTATACAAAAAAGCCTAAACTATGGTCTGAAAATACCTCACCAGGGCCTGAATTCAGGCTATTGCCTGAAAACTGGCATCCCTTAATGTTATACACAAAGCAAAGTCTTCAAAACCTGTGCCTATATCTTTGGCTATATCAGGACAGAAACAACTTTCCCTGGGTCAAATGTGAAGCCATAGCTAACAAATAAACCAGTGAGGAAGCTGTGTAAGCATTTAAAAATGATAATTACCATTATGATGATAATAATACTAATGATAATAGTAATAGTAATAATATTGATAATAATACTAATACTAATAACAATGATATTGATAACAACAACAATAATAATAATAATAAACATTAATTTAAAAAAATACAAACAATAATAGGAGGCATTTGTATTGTGCCATCTAGAACATCTATTCTGAGGCGCACAAGGAAAAATAGATAAGAAATAAGAGTATGAATGAGTGCCATATTCTTGTGTCAAGCATTGCTATGAAAATTTAGAATTTCAACTAGGATTTGAAACTCTGTAATGATTTTGTAGTTATCAACTCCATTGGTAATTTGTTGCACATAAAGGGTGCTGCAGCCAAGAAAGCCCATAATGATCCAATAATATCCTAGTCACATCAATGAGACAGACACAACAGTGACAACAGACCAAAAAACTGAGAAAACTTAGCCTGGGGAGTGTTTCACAAAGACTAAGATTGACTTTAAGTTGGACTTAACTATGGCAGGCCATTCATGCAACTATTTTCTCTCACCATTTACTGGCATTGGACTCTGAAGGGAGGTACAAATCATGGCCACAAATCTGCAGAATTTACATTCTTTGATAGTTAATTATTGAAGGAAAGAATATTATCTAAATATCATAATGGTGAGAGCAACCAGTGGCATGAATGGCCTGCCATAGTTAAGTCCAACTTAAGGTCGATCTTAGTCTTTGTGAAACACTCCCCTGAATGGATAAGAAGGTCAGTCTGGGATTAGTATGGGGTTGATTTTGGTAGGTTACTTAGGTGACGTTGCTGAGTGGTCTAATCACGTTACTGGGAATGCAGATGTCTCAAGTTTTTCCCAGGCAGGGCATTTACATGTATGTCGCCATTTTTGTTGTGGAAAAGTATCATTTCAATTTCGATTAAAACACATATTGTTCATGAATCCTCTGCCCGCATTTAGCTCTTAATCGATTAGATTAAAGGGATTTCTTAACCCATTGTGTAAAATTCTGTGACCGGGTTAATAATACCGAATAAGTGCTTTGGTCGATTACGCTGTAACTGGTAACGTGCTTTATGAGAAGCAGTTATTATTACTATGACTAAGGCATCAGTAGAAGATGTAACAACTTACAGCAGTAAGACAGTAAGATGCAAAGAGCCATTTTGAGAACTTGCCTTCTGTCTTCTTGGTTGAGCAGAGAGCAGCTACCCCTGATCCTATGGCACATATCAGTTCTGTACGAAGAGAAATTCAATCAATAAAGAAAAGGTTGAGCTGCAGAGAGTAAAAATTTGTGAGCTCTAATGAGCCAGTTCTGAGATCGAGATAAAGGTCATTTGTACCAAACTGTTAACCCATCAAAATGAATACTGGACATGTGAAATTGTATAGCAATGAATACATACTTCATCAAAGTTTGGTTTGAATTGCTTTTCAAGATGCTTTTCAAGTTATTGCTGCCACAAGATATTTTGGGGGTAGTTTTGAACACTTTTATGATCCTGTGACCTTTGACCTCTTACACCTAAAATCTAATCGGTTTATTCCTTTGGTGCATATTCATACTTTGTCAGTTTACTTTAAATTGTTTAAATGCTTTTCAATTCACCACAGTAACAAGACATTTTCTCTAGTAGCTTTTAACACTTTTATGACTTTGTTAACTTTAACCTCTAATCAGTTTATCCTTACATGCTCATATATTCTTGATCTGACTTTGGTTAAAATCTACTCAATGGTTCTTGAGTTTTCATGGTAATGAAAAGCAGGACGGATAGACGGAAGTAAAGACGGACGGACAACCCCAAAACATAATGCCTCTGGCACCATCTTTGGTGGCGAAGGCATGAAAATAGAACATCTCGTTCCTCTTTACTTACTCTTTTCAGCAACAAAGTGTCTGATGAGGTCACATAAAATCCTGTCCTTGGTCAAATCGTAGAGGGCGCCTGTACAGTCTGGTATCAACAAAGCTGCATATCTAGAAGCTGGGATAAGAATAGAAGAGAAAAAGAGCAGACAGCTCTCTATTAATTTGTCAAGGCGTCAGATCAAATCAGGCAAACCTTTGCCAACATTCAACCAAAGTCATCACGCATGTGCTCTAATCCTGTAACAGCAGTCAACATTAGAGCAAAACTTCTCTTCATTTGGCATCATCATTTGGCATTATCAGAAGAGGTAAAATTTATAGGCGACTGTGCATCTAGATATAGATACCACGAGCGAAAAGAAGAGAAAAGCACTACACAACAGAGTTAAGGCTCACTGGGCCAATAGCTCATGACAAATAACTAAAGCAAGCATTTGATAAGTATCTGCTGACACCCTCTAGTGGCTTAAAACTTTTATTCATTGTCAATCTCTCGAAATAAGTCTAATATTGTACTAAAGAACCAGGGGGTGTTGCACAAAGATCTTAAATCAAACTCTAAGTTGGACTTCAAAATTATGGAGGGCTCTTTTGTAGCCTTAAAACAAAATATATTCAAAGGCGAAAATTCAAGTATTTTAGACTTTTTATCAATTCCATATCAAGAACATGAATTTCCTTGATAATAGAAAACATTAATGATTTGAATCAACATTTTATGCCTTTTAAAATAGCTTGTACAAAATATTTTCATAGATGCTAACGGCTTTCTATAATTGTTAAGTCCAACTTAGGGATGAGTTCAACTTAGGATCTTTGTGAAACACCCCCCAGTTAATACTATTGCATAATTATTCTGAGATCTATCATACGTTCAACAACATCCAGTCTGAGAGGCATGGAGTATGGCTTTGAACGGAAGTCACTTATCCATCTTTTACTGTTATCATCATGTCCTACAAAGTCTCCTAGTCTACCCTGCAACAAATAGTGAGACAGAGAGAAAAAGAGGGGGCGGGGGAGAAATTGGTTACTTTATTCATCTTTTGAATAAATTATGACAGTACAATAATCATTCTTATCTGACTTGACTGGAGCTGAAAAAGATGAGGTAGGAGAGACGTGAGGAAAGAGATTTTACACAAATTGTCACACGAGGCAACAGAGAGAGAGAGTGAGAGACAAGATACATATAAAGAATAATGTAAATGAGCTATAGAAAGAAGATAAAGATAAATATTCAGCGCAAGGGATTAATATATCAAGAATTGCAAGAATATATCATATTGTCATTATTTCATTAAAACGGGTAAGAGCGATTTATTCCAACTTTGTAGGAAAAAGTGTACAATGTATAGGCAACAATTGTCTATTCACCTGTATCCTCAGACTTCGTCAAACGGGCAGTTTACAAGAAATAGCAATGGCACATTTAATCAACTACAACAGCTCCAGGTTACATTTCATAAATAGTAGGATTAGCACTTGGTTTATTACAATAGGCTTTTAGGTTAGACTATTAGCATATGGGTATTGTTGGCCTACAATGCTTAGTTCATGCTTGGTTTCCGTTAGGAAATACATCCAGTTTTAGAAATGATTATCTGATGGGGCAATACATGTATACCTATGCAAAATCCTTGGAAAAGCTCCCCATTATATTTCGACTGTCTCAATTCATTCATTTACCTCTATTGAAGCGAGTTGTACATTGAAGGCTGAATGAGCCAAGGTGAACGCATGGATGAAAGACTGAGCTTGGATTCCACCTGTATAATTCACAGAAATTAGAGGAAAAGAAGACGAAGAATAAGAAAGAGAAGAGGAAAAAGGGACAAGAAAAAGAAATAAGAAAAAAAAGGGGCAAACCTTATTAGAATGTGGGGGATTCCAAGGTCTCATCCCCTAGACTCATTCCTGAATACAAGGGTGGAATAATATCTACCCCATCCCCCTTTTTAAAACAAGCATCTGAATGCAATACATCTACATCTAATGAAGATAGATTTCCTGATGTAATAATGTATATCCATAGACCACATGCATAACTCTCAAGTCTCAAGGTCAGGAAATTTCATATTGAGAATTGGGTGTTAATGAAGTCAATCATTTGGTAATTGAGAAGGTGAATGTAGGATTAAAACCCCAAAATTTGTCTCTAATATCGACCCAGGCTTGTTCCGCCGAGACTAGGTATGTCTGGCTTCACTGACCATGCTGACTGCCTTTAGACTGAGAGCGACACAGAAGTACATCATATGACTACGAGTTGGTAAGGCTGCAAGGGGAGGTTGTATTAAAGGCACTGCAGCTCAGTTTGTGTGCGATTTCTGATCTCATTGCCTGCACTATTACTAGATTTATATAGCCTATGCCTAGATCTATGGCTTCAACTATAGTTCAAGAAAACTGACAGATTAGCTGAAGGCGATTCCTTATGTAAAGACAAACCAAAAATTGACTAGTTACCACCCCCCCCCCCCCCCCCCCCCCCCTCTCTCTCTCTCTCTTCTTGTATTTGTACTTGTGCATGCGTGGATCTGGAAGCTCAATTTTGAACAGAGTAAGACTAAGAGTAAGACTCAAGACTCAGAGATGCAAAAATCCGCTAAAAAATAAGAAATTTATCAATTTTCGAAGTTGTTATCACTAGAGACCTAATAAAACAAAGGCGAAACTATGGATTTTTGACTTCACTCGATGGCTCGACACTCGTCCTCTCATTTACGGCATAGATCTATGTAACGCGCTATAAAAACATATCGGTACAATGCGGCCACAACTCTGCTCCATGCATGTGTACAGGGAGCGGCCCCGCGGACGCTTTCGGCGGGAAGCTCCCTGGACTGCTGGAGCCACTAATGTGTTGCATGCTTTCGCCACCGACATGCACTGGTCGGTTGGGAATTACCTTCTGAACTTGAACTAAGTAGCAACAGACACTGTGGCTTGGCCATATCTCTGTTAAGGTCAGAGATGAACTCAAAATGGCATATCCCTCTTTCCACACATTTCTAAGAAACCACGTATAAAGCGAACTTTGAAACAATTCTTTGCTTTATACACGGAAACAAATACGTGGGACCCTACTATATATTAGAAAACGGACGTACGTGCAATGAATGGGCGGATCAACAGGCTCGTTCAAATGTATTTGAAATTTAAAAAAATATATGTTAAGTTTATCAAATTTACCTTTGAATGAAAAACCTACAAATAAACTTTATTATATACTATCAACTATTTAAAAGACAATTTGTTAACGGAAAAAGTTCTAAAAATGAGACTTTCTTGGCTTCATGTTTAATATTCATAATTGAATGCGTGCGCGCTATCGCTACATGTAGCACGTTTCGCTTGCTACGTAAGTGTACTGCTGCTACTGATTGTGCATAGCATGTGAACTGAATTAACTGTGCATATGAATTGAAGAGGAAATGCGTGCCCTCGCCTCGCTGTGAATTGAATGGAAGTTGGCCGGATTCCAGCCGGAAAACCAATTTGAAGGATGTGAAAAGTATAAGGGTCTACGATTAAAATTGAATTAATGTAACTAAATAAATTATTTATTCACCTGAATTTTAACAAAAACGAACAAAAATAATGAATTATATTATTATTAATATTAAACTAGAAAAGTTAAGGTTAAAAAAGACAGTAATTTTCCTATTAATCTCTATGTGTAATACATATATAACAATTGGAGGGGGGGGGGTAACTTTGGATCGGTCCGCTAGCGCTCAGAGAAAATACGTATTAAAGAGATTAATGGAAGTTCAAGAACAAGGTCTGATCTTTCGAAAAAATGATATTTTATCAAAAGTTAGGTGGTTCTTCGATAGTGGACTAGTCTTCTTGCAGACGGTCATTTTCCTAACTCTACGTGTACAACATAATGATGGAAAATTGGAAGGGGGAGTAACTTTAGATCGGTCCGCTAGCGCTCAGAGAAAATACGTATTAAAGAGATTAATGGAAGTTCAAGAACAAGGTCTGATCTTTCGAAAAAATGATATTTTATCAAAAGTTAGATGGTTCTTCGATAGCGGACTAGTCTTCCTGCAGACGGTCATTTTCCTAACTCTACGTGTACAACCTATGGGACAATCGGAGGGGGGGGGGGGTAACTTTGGATCGGTCCGCTAGTGCTCAGAGAAAATACCTATTTAAGAGATCAATGGAAGTTCAAGAATAAGGTCTCATCTTTCGAAAAATGACATTTTATCAAAAGTTAGGTGGTTCTTCGATAGTGGACTAGTCTTCTTGCAGACGGTCATTTTCCTAACTCTGCGTGTACAACATATGGACAATTGGAGGGGGGGGGGGTAACTTTGGATCGGTCCGCTAGCGCTCAGAGAAAATACATATTAAAGAGATTAATGGAAGTTCAAGAACAAGGTCTGATCTTTCGAAAAAATGACATTTTATCAAAAGTTAGATGGTTCTTCGATAGCGGACTAGTCTTCCTGCAGACGGTCATTTTCCTAACTATACGTGTACAACATATGGACAATTGGAGGGGGGTGGGGGTAACTTTGGATCGGTCCGCTAGCGCTCAGAGAAAATACATATTAAAGAGATTAATGGAATTTCAAGAAAAAGGTCTGATCTTTCGAAAAAATGATATTTTATCAAAAGTTAGATGGTTCTTCGATAGCGGACTAGTCTTCTTGCAGACGGTCATTTTCCTAACTATACGTGTACAACATATGGAAAATTGGAGGGGGGGGGGGCGGTAACTTTGGATCGGTCCGCTAGCGCTCAGAGAAAATACATATTAAAGAGATTAATGGAAGTTCAAGAACAAGGTCTGATCTTTCGAAAAAATGATATTTTATCAAAAGTTAGGTGGTTCTTCGATAGTGGACTAGTCTTCTTGCAGACGGTCATTTTCCTAACTCTGCGTGTACAACCTATGGGACAATCGGAGGGGGAGGGGGGTAACTTTGGATCGGTCCGCTAGTGCTCAGAGAAAATACCTATTTAAGAGATTAATGGAGGTTCAAGAACAAGGTCTCATCTTTCGAAAAAATGATATTTTATCAAAAGTTAGATGGTTCTTCGATAGTGGACTAGTCTTCTTGCAGACGGTCATTTTCCTAACTATACGTGTACAACATATGGAAAATTGGAGGGGGGGGGTAACTTTGGATCGGTCCGCTAGTGCTCAGAGAAAATACCTATTCAAGAGATTAATGGAGGTTCAAGAACAAGGTCTCATCTTTCGAAAAAATGACATTTTATGAAAAGTTAGGTGGTTCTTCGATAGTGGACTAGTCTTCTTGCAGACGGTCATTTTCCTAACTCTACGTGTACAACATAATTATGGAAAATTGGAAGGGGGGGGGGTAACTTTAGATCGGTCCGCTAGCGCTCAGAGAAAATACGTATTAAAGAGATTAATGGAAGTTCAAGAACAAGGTCTGATCTTTCGAAAAAATGACATTTTATCAAAAGTTAGATGGTTCTTCGATAGCGGACTAGTCTTCCTGCAGACGGTCATTTTCCTAACTCTACGTGTACAACCTATGGGACAATCGGAGGGGGGGGGGTAACTTTGGATCGGTCCGCTAGTGCTCAGAGAAAATACCTATTTAAGAGATTAATGGAGGTTCAAGAACAAGGTCTCATCTTTCGAAAAAATGATATTTTATCAAAAGTTAGATGGTTCTTCGATAGTGGACTAGTCTTCTTGCAGACGGTCATTTTCCTAACTATACGTGTACAACATATGGAAAATTGGAGGGGGGGGGGTAACTTTGGATCGGTCCGCTAGTGCTCAGAGAAAATACCTATTCAAGAGATTAATGGAGGTTCAAGAATAAGGTCTCATCTTTCGAAAAAATGACATTTTATGAAAAGTTAGGTGGTTCTTCGATAGTGGACTAGTCTTCTTGCAGACGGTCATTTTCCTAACTCTACGTGTACAACATAATTATGGAAATTTGAGGGGGGGGTAACTTTAGATCGGTCCGCTAGCGCTCAGAGAAAATACGTATTAAAGAGATTAATGGAAGTTCAAGAACAAGGTCTGATCTTTCGAAAAAATGACATTTTATCAAAAGTTAGATGGTTCTTCGATAGCGGACTAGTCTTCCTGCAGACGGTCATTTTCCTAACTATACGTGTACAACATATGGACAATTGGAGGGGGGGGGGGTAACTTTGGATCGGTCCGCTAGCGCTCAGAGAAAATACATATTAAAGAGATTAATGGAAGTTCAAGAAAAAGGTCTGATCTTTCGAAAAAATGATATTTTATCAAAAGTTAGATGGTTCTTCGATAGCGACTAGTCTTCCTGCAGACGGTCATTTTCCTAACTCTACGTGTACAACCTATGGGACAATCGGAGGGGGGGGGTAACTTTGGATCGGTCCGCTAGCGCTCAGAGAAAATACGTATTAAAGAGATTAATGGAAGTTCAAGATTAAGGTCTTATCTTTCGAAAAAATGCTATTTTATCAAAGTTAGATGGTTCTTCGATAGCGAACTAGTCTTTCTGCAGACAGTCATTTTCATAAGTCTACGTGTACAACGTATGGAAAATTGGAGGGGGGGGATAACTTTGGATCGGTCCGCTAGCGCTCAGAGAAAATACGTATTAAAGAGATTAATGGAAGTTCAAGATTAAGGTCTCATCTTTCGAAAAATGCTATTTTATCAAAAGTTAGATGGTTCTTCGATAGCGAACTAGTCTTCCTGCAGACAGTCATTTTCATAAGTCTACGTCTACAACATTACGGAAAATTGGAAGGGGGTGGGGGGTAACTTTGGATCGGTCCGCTAGTGCTCAGAGAAAATACGTATTAAAGAGATTAATGGAAGTTCAAGATTAAGGTCTGATCTTTCAAAAAAATGCTATTTTATCAAAAGTTAGATGGTTCTTCGATAGCGGACTAGTCTTCCTGCAGACAGTCATTTTCCTAACTCTAAGTGTACAACATATGGAAAATTGGAAGGGGATGGGGGGATAACTTTGGATCGGTCCGCTAGCGCTCAGAGAAAATACGTATTAAAGAGATTAATGGAAGTTCAAGATTAAGGTCTCATCTTTCGAAAAAATGTTATTTTATCAAAAGTTAGATGGTTCTTCGATAGCGAACTAGCCTTCCTGCAGACAGTCATTTTCCTAACTCTACGTGTACAACATACGGAAAATTGGAAGGGGGGGGGGTAACTTTGGATCGGTCCGCTAGCGCTCAGAGAAAATACGTATTAAAGAGATTAATGGAGGTTCAAGATTAAGGTCTGATCTTTCGAAAAAATAATATTTTATCAAAAGTTAGATGGTTCTTCGATAGCGAACTAGTCTTCCTGCAGACAGTCATTTTCATAAGTCTACGTGTACAACATATGGAAAATTTGAGGGGGGGGGGGATAACTTTGGATCGGTCCGCTAGCGCTCAGAGAAAATACGTATTAAAGAGATTAATGGAGGTTCAAGATTAAGGTCTCATCTTTCGAAAAAATACTATTTTATCAAAAGTTAGATGGTTCTTCGATAGCGAACTAGTCTTCCTGCAGACAGTCATTTTCATAAGTCTACGTGTACAACATATGGAAAATTGGAGGGGGGGGGATAACTTTGGATCGGTCCGCTAGCGCTCAGAGAAAATACATATTAAAGAGATTAATGGAGGTTCAAGAAAAAGGTCTAATCTTTCGAAAAAATACTATTTTATCAAAAGTTAGATGGTTCTTCGATAGCGAACTAGTCTTCCTGCAGACAGTCATTTTCCTAACTCTACGTGTACAACATATGGAAAATTGGAGGGGGGGGTAACTTTGGATCGGTCCGCTAGCGCTCAGAGAAAATACGTATTAAAGAGATTAATGGAAGTTCAAGAACAAGGTCTAATCTTTCGAAAAAATGCTATTTTATCAAAAGTTAGATGGTTCTTCGATAGCGGACAAGTCTTCCTGCAGACAGTCATTTTCCTAACTCTAAGTGTACAACATATGGAAAATTGGAAGGGGATGGGGGGATAACTTTGGATCGGTCCGCTAGCGCTCAGAGAAAATACGTATTAAAGAGATTAATGGAAGTTCAAGATTAAGGTCTTATCTTTCGAAAAAATGCTATTTTATCAAAAGTTAGATGGTT